AAAATAGGGGACCTTGTTAGGGTACAACGAACGATATATGACAAGGAACACTCGGGTAAATCAAGGAAATTAGTACCAAAGTTTAACGGACCTTACCGTATAGTAAAGATTTTGGATAATGATAGGTTCTTAATCGAAGATACACCGTTGACAAGAAAGGGCAATAAGAAATATGAAAATGTAGTGGCCTTAGATAAAATACATCCTTGGCTGGCGTTCGAAAATATCGCAAGCGAGTCTAGTGATAGCGATAGTAATAGTAACGATACAGAATGAACGGACACAGCGAATACACATTGAACACGTCCTTACTATTATGATTGTATTATGATTTCGTAAATTACATCAACAGGCGCAACAGGAACCGTTTGTGAATTGAATTGTATAATATATTTTGTACTGATTTCTTTTGAAGGAAACGCAGGCTGTGAGCAATCAGTGCCGAGGCATAGATGGTCGCAGATCACAGCAGCTCGTAGTCACGAATAGTTAACGATATGGTGTATGAGCGGTTAGTATTGAGGCGTAGATGGTCGTAGATCGTAGCAGACTTTGTTCGCAGATGCCCTGTAACATGGGCTATGAGCGGCCAGCGCTTACGCGTAGATGGTCGTAGATCATAGTAGACTGTGTTTGTGGGTACTCTGCGACATGGGCTATGAGCGGCCAGCGCTTAGGCATAGATGACAGAAGGTGATTTGAGCTTGGGCTGTGAGCGGTTAGTGTTGAGGCGTAGACGGTCGTAGATCATGGCAGACTGTGTTCGTGGATACTTTGCGACATGGGCCATGAGCGGCCAGAGCTTCGGCATAGATGACCGTAGATCATAGTAGACTGAGCAGGTTGTTGTGTAATATAGGTACATGAGCTTTGAGCGACCAGCGTTTGTAGTAACGTAGATGGCCGTAGATCATAGCAGATCATAAACTGTAATACACAGGTAGTAGAATAACAGTAATTGTAATATTTCATTCTCGTAAATATATTTGTAACGCTGTTTTTTTTTGTATAGTCCTATATTTTAAAATGTTAAATAATTATAAACAATAAGATTTGTAAAACTATATTATTATCTAATAAAACGCCATAGCATTGTATAATTTGCCTTTTATAACGTAATTGAATCGTATAACGTGAGAGGACTCACTGAGAACAGGATGGCCGAGCTGTAAGCGTCATGATAGTAGATATAATAATTATAACTCATTCATGTGATTATATATTAGTTATAACTTATTTTTATTTAGTACAAGTTAGTTATTCTAATGAACCTTATCGATATTGATTAATATCCGCATCGATATTAATAAATATCGATACATATATTTTGGTAGGGTAGCAACATTGTGAAATGGTCGGGCGGTGGTTGGCACCTCGGTAACGGGGCATTATACGGTAGCGTTTGACGGAGAGAAGTATTCGGAGTAATATTGTAAAATAAATCAGTGAATATACAAGTAATCCTGTAGTTTTTCTGAGTTGAAAGCCTTGATCCTTCATATTATAAATGTAACCCTTACTATCCTAAATATTAAGATTATGAAGAATCCTGTCGGTGTAGAAAAAATATACGGGTTAATTTCAGAGCCAGTATTTTTAAAACATTGCATCAATTTTATGCTTCAAATAGGTTTATATCAAGAACATCATGTTATACAAACATAATATTAACCCACATGGCTAGATGAGCAATTTTCTTAGGAAAATTAAACGTATTAAGTTAAGCCCACTAGTAATATCTTTGTTGATTAAAGTCTAAGCTACCACAAAAACACATACCTATTATTAACCCCCATTGTTCTAAAAGGAATGTATTCGTTTCGTAGGCAATTTAATTGAAGCATTTAAAGGCAATTTGTACGTATTTGAGTGTGATTAGCAAGGTTACCAGTTTTTCGTTGAATGCGGATTTACGCGCCTTCAGAACCCACACATTGCCTTTGGCACCCACGTTTTATACGGTCACCATCATACGACCAGTTTAAAGTGAACCATACTGCATTAATGTTATTCCCATCGAGTTTATCTTAAATTTCAAAACGCTATAATATGCGTCTAAATACTACCCACACACAATATTATTATTTATCAGAGCACGATGATGTCATATTTCGGTATTCCTATTGCAATAGTAATTATTCTGATTGATATTTTAATTGTAAATTGATATCCACGACTCAATTAAAGGCACAAAAACTGTGGGCAAAAAATATTATAATAAGGAAGTTTTTAATTACACAGCTGAATTATGTTTTTATTTCGTACCAAAGGTGGTATCAAATTTGAATTCAGAGGCCCTAATACAAGTGAGGCTTACTATCCGGATATTGAAACTATAATAATTTGTATGTTATTGAGTGTTAATTCAAAATTGTCTCTCTTGTATCACCATCATCATCAGCCTATTGCAGTCCACAGCTTCACGCAGACATTTACATGGATTTAAAGCTTCTCGCATCCAGCTCCTGCCAGCCATCTTGCACAAATCGTCATTCCACCTGGCCTGTGGGCGTCCTACACTACGTTTGCCGAGGCCTCCACTCAAGAACTCGTTTTCCCCAACGGTTGTAGGTTCTGCGACTAACATGGCCAGCCCACTGAAACTTCAGCTTGCTGATCCGGTAGGCTATGTCGGTGACCTTGGTTCTCTGCCGGATCACCTCATTCCTGATGCGATCCCTTAGAGAAACGCCGAGCATAGCTCTTTCCTTAGCACGTTGAGCGACTTTGAACTTGTGAACCAGTCGTACTGTAAGTGTCCACGTTTCGGCGCCGTATGTCATGACGGGTAGAACGCACTCATTGAAAACTTTCGTCTTAAGGCACTGTAGGATCGACGATAAGAAGCCTCGACGTAACTTTCCACTGCCCAAACCAACTAAATTCTTCTGTTCACCTCGTCCTCGAACTGCAACCTATCGAATAATAATAATTACTTTTTCATTATATGAGACAAATGTACATTTGAAATTTATTCTGTATCTTGGTCGAAATATATTCAGGCAACAGACACCTTAAGTGGGCGTAAAATCTGGGGCCACTAACACCAACACAGTCAACGCATAAATCCAGTGTTTTTCTATCTATTTTTGGGCTTTACCTCAGTACAAGGTTATGAGTAACCTATCATCGCTTGTGATGAGTAAGCAGAAGAGAACGGAAAAAAAATACTCAGTTGGTTTGAGTTTACAAAAGTTGGATCATGGTCTGGAGTTCTGTCCATATTAGACTTTTTTTTCAACAGTTAAAATTAACGATCGTTTTTCTTTGGCATGTACCGCAGAGCATATTAACCATATTTGCATTTTAACTAAAACGAAGACGCGTAGAACAAAAAAATATATACAACCTAGAACATTAGCCTAGAGAGACATGTCTCCGGCTCAATTATGGTGTGCCAACAGCATTGCAAAGAGATGGAAAACTTGACACAAACCCTATGCCAACCCGTCTGGCCAGCGTGGTATAGTAGCCCAAAACCTCCTTTCTAAGTAGAGGCCTATGTCCAGCAGTGGACTATTAAAGACTGTTGATGTGATATTGCGGAGTGCCCTATACGATTATAGTAAGCTGGAACCTAATACTAAATTATTTGTATAGAATCTTAATGTTTAAAATAAATTCCAAACAAAACATTCTACATACACATGTATACTTATTGTGTCAAAAAATTCTTGAATTTAAAATATGCGTGTGTCGTAGTTTAAACAAAATACATGAAGGCAATAATTGCTAGGATAATGAAATACCATACATACCTTATTTTTCATTCGCTGTGCTTCTTTGACACGGTTGTAAGTACATAGATCAATTTTGAATTCATAAGATCACAATATTTTTGTTCCTTTATATTATTATGTAGGTATGTGCCTGCGAAACATTGACATACAACAATACCTACCTATACGAGTACATGTACATAATTACTTGGAATGTTAATGCGATGCATCTGTTGTATAATTAAATTTGATTTGATGTATTCTTCTCTACTTTCATTTTTTATTTATTCAGTTTTTTACATAGACACTTATTGGCATTTTGATTAATTAAAAATAAAGACTCGTTTATAAAATTATAGACGGTAATCAGTGTTGCCCTTTAATAAATTAAAATATGCGTAGCATAATGTTTTTCTATATATTTCCCGGACGTTCGTCAAGTTTAATTTTGTTAATTATTGATTGGATTGTAATGGTTTATTATAAATTTTGTGCATATTATATAAATACCAACAAAGAGCAATTTTCTGAAAAGAAGATAAGTAATTATATGGATACTTAACATTCATAATCAACAACAACCTTTTACTTAAAATAGATGGCCCCCAGAAAATAAAAGTTAATCTATATTTTTGATAAAAATAAAGACGAGTATTAAAGAAAAACTTTTCAACACTTGTTTTTTAATAAGTAACATTAAAGTTCCACTCATCAATATAATTCTTCGCTACAGAAAATCACTTTTTTTCTAATAATTCCTTTGAATCCAATAATTTAGTATTTAATATAAATATTCAGATTAAGGGAGTTTGTCTGTAAAGTATATAGGCGATTATTTGGATGGCATATAGTACTCAAAGTATTTTATGAGGTCTCAAATAACGGTAATTTTAACCGGTTACATAATTCTGTGCAATATGTAACTCGATGGATGACTAGCAAGCACTACTTTTATCCATACAAATTACTCACAAGCATACCGTAGAACAGCTTTGTTTTATTTTGTAAGTCATCGTGTTATATTTCCTCGTGAAGAATGAATTCGTGAGTGGCGGATGTGGCCGCAAATGACTTAGGAACGAAAAAGAACATACCTACGTAGATTGGGTTTTGTTCTATATACCGTGTTATTGAACATGCACGTGAACATTTCCGCGTAGGTCCTTAGTTAACCACCCACGTCTGCTCCGAGGTTGTCGCGTTGGGCACTACGTAGTAGGCAACTGACATACACATTGAAATTCCATGGCATGGCATGGCATATCTGTGAGTAGGGCTAGCATGATTAGTCCTTCTAACATCGCTATTGGATTTCCTTATATAGAAATTGTGACCGATGTGGCACCATACCTTGGGTAATGACAAGGTTTTTTACACACACCCGATTCTTTTAGTCTTGGTTTTCTTTAAAAGCTTCAAGCGTGGAATTTTGTAACGGATTGAAACCTCTGTTAATATATTTAGATTATACTTCGAATAAAGATGTCTCAGGTATTATGAAATTGTATACATTAACTAATTTCAATTTAAAAAATGCTAGTATGAAGAGTCAGTTGGTAGTGTATGGTGGAGGTGGTACAATGCCCTAGTTATTAAACAACTAATTTACTTTAGAGAAATACTAACGAACGAATATGAAAGAAAAGAAAAACTGTGTAAACCTGTATGAAAAGAAACAAAGTGAGTGCATACAGAGATGTCTATGTTTTTTTTTTTAATAAGTTGTGACACCTCACGACCGTATGATTCCAAACTAAATCATATTCTAAGAATTATATTACAGCCAATATACCCTTAAGCTAATAGTTCTACTAATAGTAGAGATAAGATCATTAAACTAGACACTAAACACAAAAATGATAAAATAAATAAAAATACGGTATAGAAATTACCCTTTTTTATATTTTCGAATATCATAAATTATGAATTTACAAAAAGTGAACAAGACAAAAGCCGAATAATGAAAATACATTACCAGAGCTATTTTTAGGTTTATTTTTTTTATATTAATAGGTGTGTTGTTGCTACATCTCGACCTTCGGGGCTGAGTTAACATCTATTGTTCAAGAAATTACTGATTCCGTCTCTAATTTGTGGCAGACCCATTGTCTCTCACAATCATTGCCCGATTTTACGGGTAGTGCACACCAGAACATTTACTCGTATATAGTATTTTCGAATATAAAAAATATACATCAATTATACATCGCGTGGTGAATGGAAATGAGGATATCTAAAGGCAGCTGCAAAAGCCATATAATTAATTACTGGTAACAATAACTAATTATATAGCGTTAAAAACTGTCGTTTAGTACGAGTACCTACCTAGCTTTTTATATTAATTACTTGTCCACTTCCCGATTTTGTAAGCGAAAGCGACTAACGAAACTATAGCTATGGATATAAATGGACATATTTTATAGCCTAAAGGTATTAAGTTTGTATTACAATTAAAAGGTAGAAATCTAAATACTCATCTATTTTGACTTTTGAAAGAACTACATATATTACGTGGACCTCATGTTCCTATTCATATGTTAACCATTTTAAGTATAAATTATTAAAATGTTACTTGTGAACTTACCAATTACTTACTCATGAACACTGCTTAAAAGTATTAAGCTCGCATTACTAGAGTTAGTACAATTAAATGAAAAAGGTTTCAAGTTCAAACGATTTGAATGGACGCATTCAAGTTCATTTTTTTAAACAAGTGCTTGCATTCATGTGTGACAATGCTCAATTATGTATACGGTACAAGATAATAATGCAATAACAATATTGTAGGTATATTCAAGCAGTCCTTGACACCACCTAATATACAGTCATTACAAACAATCCCTACTCCCACGCTTCTAGCTTACGATTTATGAAACTAACTCCGTACAGTAATCACTACTGCAGACCTTGTCTTAGCCCACAATAAGTGAGACTTCACTATTATTACATCTAATAATATAAATGAGGAGAAGTTGTATGTTCTTACCTAGCTTCAGTCTAACTCAGCCAATTTAAGTAAACTAATGTTCAAAAGAAATAGCTTGTTCTTCCACAACACTTAGACACACACACAGATCAGACTTTATATTTTTTTATCTATTTATATTAATAAGTTTATTTTTATTTTATGGATGCGGGCAGCAGAACCGGTTATTGTTTGGGGTTTGCCTATGTCCAGCAGTGGGCGTCTATCGGCTGAGATGATGATGATATAAGTAGAAGAAATAGCTGTATAGATTATATAATATCGATATTATATAATTAGTTAGTATACACAACATCAAAATCTGTTGAGCCCGACTAACTTCAGATCCGACTACATCCAAATGCCCCAAATTATTTTTCAGGCAAAACTAGTGCAAAATATATATTTCTAATACAAATTCAGAATAGGTAACAATAAAAGAATACATATTGAAAGTGCAAGCAAAACATATTAGGAATGAACTCGTTCAAAAAAGACATGTTCGAAGAGCGGTTTTCAAGGTTAGATAAACAATCAGACTCGCTCTTGTCCGATTTATTTCTATATCATCCCTTTTTCTGTTCCTAGATATAGTCATGAATGAAATTTTTATAATGTTTACGGACGATGTATAAAGTCATTCTGTAGGTGGCAAGGAACAATTCAGCCTTAAGACAGTTCACTTAGTCATCGTAAAAGATTGCAAAAATATTTTCAACAGCCTCATGCCTTAAATACGACACTCGTCCATATATAGTGAAATGATGTCACTTGGCAGGCCTAGAACATATTGTATTCACTAGCCTCTTATTTTGACGAAGTATACGTTTTATGTAGGTTTTCAAGCATTTATATCCTAAATTAAACTCTTATACCCTATTTAGCTGGGTTTCAACAAGTCCGTATATAAACTAAACACTAAAAAAAGACATTCCTCCGTTTCCTAAATGCTTTTAAAATGTGTACAAAAAAATCTCGAAATAGATAATAAAACTCGACTTTGTGCGAGCGGATTATGGTTGGAAAACTCTAGACACTCTAGTAGAGAGAGAGCTTATCAGTTTCACATAGCGGTACGACAACGATTTTCGAAAAGTATGTTTCGACAACGTAACTATCTAAATAAAGTATTTCGACTCCACTCTTACTAAGACATTGACCACGTATATTATTTACACCATGGTCCCAAACGACGACTTCAAAAAGCGTCCGTGTGTGATTCGCAGCGTGGTGTAAACAGCTCTTGGTGTGTGAATCGAGGAAGTACCTAAAAATAAAATACTTTCATCGTGCCTATTTATGTACCTATTCTTGTTATAGGTATGTGCGTGCAGTGTGCTTGCTGCATTAGATGGATACAGCGCTCAGCAAGACCCAGACCAATATCACATTCAAACTGATGAAGATGATGAAAGGTACTTTGTGTATCAGACCCACAATGGCCAGTACCGAAAAGAAAGGAGACTAAAAGATGGATCCGTAGTCGGTGAGTTTCTCTTGGCCTGTTCCAGGAACAATGGTGTAAAATTACACTTTAATTAAAAGTATCCTTATTTCTTGCATATTTCGTTAGATGAAAGGCAACACATGGAATATGTGGAGGAACGAGTGTCATGTTCCTCAAACACAAAAGATGTTTCGACCAGGCAAGGTGATCATGTCTGGCGTTCCGCGACCCTACGGTTTATTTTGGGAAGTTGTATATATGCTAAGTAGCACGAGAACTATTCATATCGCGATACAAGCTCAGCAGTTACTCCGTAGTTCGGTGTGTCTTCGTTAGATGGGGCTGTAGTATGTTTCTTTTTCTTTTCACCGTATGTGGAAGTCACCATAAATACGAATAAATAAATTTTAATATTTTTATTCTATAAAAAATGTACATTTAAGATTAAAGTTTGGCCACGGCTTTGCTCGCGTTAAAGTAATGTGATGTTTTAAGGCTCGTTGCCCTATCTTTCGTAGGTCGACATAAGCGATAATAAAAATATCCTTATAGGTAAAAAAGGATTTTCATAAAATATTTAAATTATAGTTAATAGCACTAAAGAATGCCGTCCGTCATGCCATTTCTGTATGTCTTCATAACATAGTGTATTCGGAATTCTTAATTTTTTTTTAATTTAACATTTTTTGTAAAAGTTGCATCTTTTGACTTTTTCCTGACCAATACCTTTAGCGTGCTGTAAGTTATTTTTTTTATTTTGAAATTTCAGGAACAACTGGCTGGGTAGGAGCGGATGGATACCTACGACTCCAGGATTACATCGCTGACGGTAAAGGCTATAGAATCCACAAGTCCAAAACTGTTTATGTTGGAGTGAACCGACCAATTAGTGTACGTTGCTTTTTTTTTATCTTACCTAATTAAGGACGCATTCACATAATTGTAACTAAATACGAATTTGCTGATTTGACCAATGATAGAAATGACTTTGTTTGCCGACTTTTAAAAGGAGGAGGTTATCAATTCGGATGTTTATAATTTTTAAATATATGTTCGGGCATAACTCCGTCATATATGGACGGATTTTCAAAATTCTTTTTTGGTTGGAAAGGGGTTTATCCGAAATGATCCTATTTAAATTTCATATAGATCTGATGATGAGTTTCGGAGACAGACAACGGCACTCTTCCAGAAATGACAGCAAATCAACCGCGAATACTGCTAGATTTTAATGCTCTTTGTTAGTATTGTTAGAAGTCGGTTCAAGGTTTTTTTTAAAAGGATTCATTCTTGTTAAAAATCTGAATATTCTTAAAAAATATGTATTTCACAAGAATTGAGAACGATCTATTGAGGTTCGTGAGAAAATATTTCAAAAACTGTTTTAATCTAATGTATTTCCAGATTTTATGATTAATCTATACAAATAAATAATATTGAAGTGTCTGTTTGTGATGTCAAAATAATAGGTTTTTTCACATGGTTACCTATGCCTATGCAAGATACCTATGCCTAAAATTGTCTGTCTGCCTGTCTGTTTGTTCCGGATAATCTACAAACGGCTGCACCCATTTTAATAATATGTTACTACCAGCTCCAGTCTATACATAGAGTAACTTAGGTTATTTTTCGTCTCAGAAAAACACTATAAAATTTTGCCCGATCCGGGAATCAAACTCATCATGGCCTCCAATCGCGTATCGTACTGCACCACTAAAGCTGCGCTTTTGAAATTCAAAATTTAAAAAAAATATATCAAAGTAAACTTACTAGAATAAATAATAATATGTATTATTTATATATTTTTATAAACTGTTAAGGTCATAAAAAGGTTTTGTAAAACATTCTGGATATTTTGGAAGTTAGTGAGATTTTACACCATCAACCCACTTTATATGCCTATAGTAAATCTAGGTATCGCATAAATAAAATGATTTTTATCTATTTCAGGAGTCAATACAAATAGCAAAAACAGCTCCAACCGATCCTGGATATGGAGTAACACCGGCGCCCGCACGACCTATCCAAAGATATCGTGGAACTCCAAGAATAACATCAACTACTCAAGCCCCATCTCTATCATCAACAACCGATGATGTATACAACTATCGCTCTAAACCTAACTCCTTGTCAGTATCAATAACTCCTAAACCTTACTTACCCCCTACTGCGAGCCCTGAAGTATACGTTACACCAAACTCCATTGATTCTTCAACTAAAACCTACGAATTCAGACCTACAGTAACCCCAATTACAGCGAGTGAGGCTGCTCCAACATCTAGTCCTTACAACTTTGATTTATCGAACACCAATAATCTTGACGACGGGTACTACACCGACGACAGTAAACGCTATGACGTCTACAATCCTAACCTATACAGGCATGCTGATCAATGGATGTCAAGATCACGGCAGCAGTCGAATCAACCTGGCATAAGAGTCGGTGATGGATACACACCGCAGTTTCCAGCGTACGACGGTGTTTCCATCACACGAAACGGTTTCCGATATTATCTACCTAAGCAATATCACGAAGAAGAATCTAGCAGTTCTCAAGAAAGAACTGGTAGTTTCGGATATATAGATCCATTTGGTATTCGTAGAGTAATTTACTACAATACAGCGCCTGGCCAAGGTTTCCAAATACGCAAAAACAATAGGTATGTGGGTCATGACGCGACCCCGTATGACCCTAGACCGGTAAATTAATATAGGCAATATGTGTAATATCATATATGTGAGAATTAAAGTTACCTAATTTATTTATTCATCAGTATTGTTAGCTCCCAGCAACTAGACTAGTTGACACAAAGCGATTAAATCGAACGAAGCGAACAAGTCTTAGCCATTAATTTGATATGTAGGTAATGATATGATAAAAATATAAAAACAATAGTCAAATGGTTTTCGTTTCACACAACCTTTTGTGGGCAAAAACCATTACTTTCTTATTTTTCAGTGCCATAGGTAGGTACATTACAGTGTAATATTTATTGATACAAACATATTGTATAGAACAGATTTTGACCCAAGTATAGGTTTAGTAAACAATACTACTAAAGTATCGTTTACTAAACCTATACATGGGTATTATATTAATCATACACTAATTATTTATAACCTTAAATATTGTAGCTTACGAAAACTTGCTTAGAGAATACTCATTCTTCAATTAATCTAAATTTAAAATACATTAGAAATACCGTTACTTAAATCAAAATATGTGTTCTCGATTTGTCTAACAAGGACGGCAGTAGCTCATAATGCCTAAAAGGCGAGAAGGTCTTTGAACTCGTCTCAGTCGTTATCTTAATGTATTTCTTTGCAAATGGGTATGCGTAGGCTTAACAATACAAAGTTTGTATGACTTTTTAGGCTTGTAATGAAAATGTAACAGTGATATGTAGAATGAGCTAAGTGCTCACATGTTTTCAAATGTATAGTCCAAGTCTGGATCACTGTCCTTATCATTTTAATCGTCTTGTCTATTTATAAATACCTACCTAATGAAATACAACCGGTGCATGTTTTTCAGAATGTCATTGCGAATAATTTGTCATTTTAGTGAGTGTGGAGCCAATGGATGATAATGACATCCTGTTCCAATGACCATGGGTATTAACGTTAAGAATTGTATATTAATCTAAAATAATTTTCTGTACTCTAACTATTTAATTGCTGTACTCTCTTTTAAAATTATAAAAATGCACATAAAGTATTTATACTAATTTGATTGTTATTTAAGTTTGTACCTACATAAATAATTTGTTAACAATGTTTGTCCTTATTTAGCGCACCAGAAGCCCTTCCCCAAATAACATTTTATATAAATAAATAATCTGTTTAAAAAATGATTCTTATTTTAATTTAAATGTTTCTGCAACAATGAGAAATATTAATCATTAGCAGTATCGTTAGCAAACGATGTTGTGGTATATTGCATCATATTATAGTAACGAATTCCTGTTTGCATAATTACCATTTTAATCTATTTGTATATAAGAGACGCAAACAATAAATATTGTCTTAGTTATTTAATTTATTCGAGAACGTTAGTGACTATTGGGTTCATAATTTTTTATACATATTTAAATTCAGAAACATGCTAACATTGGCACTTTGCCTGTTCTTAGCAACGCAAACCTTTGGGCGTACACATCATCACCATCGCAATAATGTTCAATTATCTCTAGAAAGTAAATCTTTTCCATCCTCAAAAGACTCTACTGGATTTTCGGATAACATCACTGATGCAGATTGGGTTATACCTGATGTAAAGTACCTTCATGATGTGGAAGAAATTTTAAAGGTTCAACCTGATAATATTGAACACAGGAACACAGATGACAGTAAAACTATGAATACAACTACGACACCATCTATAAATATGGCAATCACTACGTCCAAACCTATGATTGACGATGAAATAAGAAGTGGTGAAACGCCTTTAAAGGTTCAGGGAGTAATTAATGCACCGATTATTATAGTACAAACTCCACATCAACGTCGTCGTCATCAGGGTTTTAAACAAACGAACACCCCTAAAGCGTTAACCTCTAGTTTAATAAGGAATGTCCTGCCTCCTATACGTCATCAACATTCAAAACCTGGATTGGACAAATGGGATTATGACTCTATGCGGCCTGATTACGAAATTTTAAATGAAGATTTTATTATTGAAGATACTGATACAGAGCTCAAACCGACTCTAGTCCATCCAACGATGTTTCATATACAAAATTCACCTCGTGAGCATAATATACGTCAGTATGTGAAGAGACCCCCCCCACCGGTTCCTTCATTATTATCATGGTATGACTGTTTCAGAAAATAATTTATATTTTTTTTAATTGTAATAAATCCTAATTGCATTATATGGTTTTTTCGTTTGTTGAGAGAAAACAACTAAAGGCTAAAGTATAGGTATAGCTTCATCAATCATCACCAACAGCCCCTAATAGTCTGACTGAGACTGGTCTAAAGTATAGGTATAGCTTCATCAATCATCACCAACAGCCCCTAACAGTCCACTGGTGGACATAGGCCTCTCCTTAGAATTGAGGTTTTGGCCTACTATACCACGCTGGCCAGACGGGTTGGTATAGTGTTTATTTCAAGTTTTCCTTCTTTTTGCAGTGCTGTTTTTTTTCACAGTTTGCTCCCTTAGTCGGCTCTTACGAAACCCGCGGGATGAATAGGGGTGGTGACACTCTGTATTCTTAATCCGTCACCACACGGATAATAGCTCATTGATATTAATCTAATCATGAATGGGATAGTTCGATTGTATGTATCTCAGATACAAATCCATATTTTTCATTGTCACTATCAGTAAAAACCAAGAAATACCTTGTATGACTCATAGATACGAGGCATACCTTTTAAGATTTGTCGTTTGAAGAAAAAAACACAACTAGAACCTTATAGTACTTTTTATTGTTTTTCAAAGTATTCACCACGTAGCTTAATACACTTTTCCATTCGCTCAAACCAGTTATTATAACATTTATTGCACTCTAAAGTGGGGGTGTTCAAAATGGCTGACTTGAAAGCGTCGGCTGCTTCTTCACCGGAGTGGAACCTTTGACCACGAAGACTTTTCTTAATTTTAGGAAATGTAAAGAAATCGTTAGGGCTTAGGTCAGGACTGTATGGAGGATGGTCAAGAATTTCTACTTTTTCCTGCTTCAAATACTCAATCGTTTGACGAGCGCTGTGTGAGCTTGCGTTGTCATGGTGCAGGATGATGCGTCGCTTTGAGTTAGATTTTTGAAGTTCGGCGATGACTTGTGGTAAACAAACTGTGGTATACCACTCTGCGTTAACCGTTCTACGATCTTCAAGTGCAATAGTCGCAACATGGCCGGTTTTTCTAACGAACGTGGCCACCATCTTCTTTGAAGTGCTTCGAGAACGAACAACTTTAGTCGGCTTTGGCTCGTCTTGAAAGACCCATATTGTAGATTGTTGTTTGGAATCAGGATCGTAGGCATAGATCCAAGATTAGTCACCACTGATGATGTCGTAGACGTGATTTGACTCTCCTCGGTGGAACCTTTGCAGAGTTTTCTTACACCATCTGACGCGGGCCGCCTTGTGATCGTCGGAAAGCAGATGCGGTATCCAACGGCAAACTAGCTTTCTCACACCAAGCACTTCATGCAAGATCTTCTGAATGGTTGTCCCTGAGATACCTAATAGAGCCTCTGTCTCTCGATACATCACATGACGATCTTCGAGAATTTGTTGTCTCACAGCAATGATGTTATCTTCAGTGAAGGCAGATTTTGGGCGTCCTTCGCGAGATTTGTCACTAACTAGTATGTCGACGCTGGAATTCTAAATACCAGCGTTCGACAGTCCGCAGACATGGGGCTTAATCACTGAACACAGATGTTAGCTCTTCAAAACACTGAAGCCGTGTCAGGCCTCTTCTAAAGTTGTAGAAAATTATTGCACGAACTTGTTCCTTAGAAAGATTCATTTTCGTACGTAACCTGACAGATTCCAATCGACGCTGTGACTAAACAATAGCATTAATCCTAATACTTTCAAGTGTTTTGAGATTCAAAATTTAAACACATTAGAATATAGAACAGTGTCAAATTCAAAATTGAAATTCAAATATGGAAACGACAGAACTTAAAAGGCGTGCCTAGTATGTTTATATTGAATAACATAACTAAACATTGTTAATCCGGTATATAGATATGCCTGCTAAACAGCCATACACATATATACAATATAATACAATAACTCACATAAAGATGCAAATAATTATAATAAAATAAGAAGCTGAAAATCAAAATTGCTTGTTACTTTTTGTTTCATTCGAACTAAATAAAGTAAAATAAAAAAAACAACGGGTTGCACTGCAAGTGCCGGCAGAAGTGAAAACTTGAATTTTAACGTTGTGCAATATTGATATTTTGGAATGGTTAGGGAATAATTTTACACGAATTCCTTTAATTATCAGTATAAAAGTATGAGTACTATCATTTATGTGGTAGAATACAATATTTATTTATTGCGCTATCGTACACAAACATGACAATTTATCGAGACGCTGTCACCATCCATGGATGCGCGTGGCACGCTGTAACATAAACACACACGAACACGCAAGCGCCACGGTACTATTATAATACAGTACTGTAACTCGGCCGCATGATAGAAATAAATGCCTACAGCCGCGCGGTACGTAAACATGCGTTAGGGCTGCCCGTCTCCAGCATTTTAATTATATTTGCCTACTTTCTGTTTCTATTTAGATTTGTGATTGTAAATATTATTTTTATATAAATAAATGAAATACTTTGTATATTGAATAGGAAGTGTTCAATAAATTTTAATTTTTTTTTATATTTTTTATTTTATTTTTATTTATATTTTTACGCATTTGCGTGTTGTTTTTTGATTGGTAGATTTAATTATTTTATTTTCTTTCTGCATTGGAGGAGTTTTTAGTGGTAGGTATATGTTGTTATAGTAGCAGCAGAAACACTTTGTGAAAATTTCGAAAACTATCTAATGACACACAGAAGGTAAAAATTTTTTTCTAGTATTATTCATACACACAGATAATAAACAAATATTATTAGAAATAAAATACCACGTCTTTACTTTGAATTATGCAAAGTAACAAAACACACATGCACCGAAGTTTTAACACAAGCGTAAGTAGGTAGGTACCTACCGTATCATGATTCATTCAGAACCTCATATAACTACCTATTTCACTCGTCTCAATAACTTTCCGTTACTCTATTGGCTTTATTAATTAATCCAAACACCTTTTTTTCGTGAGATAAAAGGAAATACTTATCCATAAAAAAGACACACATTATGTACCTACCTACGAGTAAGTAAAATTATTTTATAGTCTTACCTTTCAGAGTTTCCAGGTAATTTAAAAAAACCTTATGTCTGGACACGTTATTGACGAATTCATACAACCAAAAACAGCACAATATTTCCTACTCGTCATATTAGCTGATTTTTAGAGAAAAAAAAATCGCGCGGTTATTGTTAAAAAAAACAACACACCGTCCGTTCGACACTACGGTACAGCCGTGACTGTCTGCGCCCCGAGCGCACCCCGAGATCGAGGCGCGTAGGTATAGCTCGCGTTTCGTCCGTTTGTATGAAGTTGGAGTACTGTACTATAATTGTACCGTGCAAGCGCCCTGCGCCGCCTAAACGAAACAGCAGGCGCAGGCATACATTTTCGCCGCGCCGTAGAAAGAGAGGGGGATACTTTCTCTCCTACGCCGCGCCGGCTGTCTACTCTCCATCCTCGTCTTACGAACGTGTCCTGACGCGAGTTTGTCATTTTGTACCCCTTACAAAAAAAAGTGTACAACGCCGCTAAAGAAGTTTTCACTTCAAAATAACCAATGACATTTTAAAACAAACCTAGAAAAATACCAAGCTTTGCTCCAATTTTCGATAATTTCATTATGCTATTGCTGTGGTTATGCGGGCTAGCGTGCTGTACACCAAGTTTCTTATACCTACGATGTTGGGGAATATATATATGATAGCAATTTTAAGCTCAAAATGTGACCGTGGAAAGGTTTTGTTGTCTCCGCACATCGTTAGAGTTCGTCGTAAACATGCTCGATCGTGATAAATTCCGGACTGTGTGCCCTTAACTCCTAACAATATCCAAATCTTGAAGATTAACAATACGACTCGAATTTATAGCTATCGTGAGTATAAATGTGCAAAATATGAACCTAGGTCTGTTTTGACGCTTTCACGCCTTAACTAGTCAGGCGTTTATCATTAAATTTTCTATACCCCAGGCAACGTCCCTGGGGTAAAGAAGAGGACATGGATAACTTTCGTTCAGTATAAAAATTTATTAACGGTTCCCGAGACATAGTAGAAGTCCGTTGTACTGTAAAATAAAAAGCACAAGATAAGTTTTACCGCACATAGACTTCTCTTAGTTTTTTATTAGGCGCACTTTATCAAGATACTTATTAAATGAGTCCTTCCTTGTAAAACTGCTTAGATATTCCCTATTCTGAACGAATCTACCCTAGGTGGTGATATAAATTTTATTAAATAAAGGAAAACTAAACAGAATTTGTATGAAATCTTTTTAAACACCTGATAACAAGTTTTAGAAAAAACTGCAATACGGTAGGTACTCATCCTTTTGCCACAACATATTTTATTTTCCCAACGCCTTATTAAAGTGAATAGCAATAAACAATGAAACAAATAGTAAGAAGGTATATAGGATAGGTACTCGCTCGCATATTAAGAATGTGTTAACCATGGCTTTTATAGAAATAAAGAAAATAGAATTTATACTATCGATTATCAGTACTTCTTGAAAAATATTTTAATTATGAAATTCAACTCATTTGTACTAACAATAACCTTTGATAATTCCCAAAGGCGAAACCAGTAAGGCCAAATTAAATGAAATAGTGAAATATAAGTACAAGTGATTATGATTTCATAATGTAAATAAAATAGATACATACAACATCAAGTAGTGTCTCAGGGGCTTACAGAAACATTTTAGCTAAAGGAAAATTAACAAGGTTCTTCTGGAAGCAGTAAATAGGTAGAGAAAAGAACTAGGTAGGTGTAAATCTTGAAATTTTGTAGTTATCCCATCGGTTTCTTTTGTTTTATATTCATATTTAGTTAGTCTGATGATGATGTGATAATGAATATTTACAGTTTGTGTATTTAGTGTGCAACTATCAAAATCTTAGGATATTCAACCTGATTTTGTTGTATTTCAACCAATTTTACCTACCATTCCTAATTTCAGACACAATAAGCTTAATTATTTTATGATTCTCATTAGGCCGGTATTACCTGTAACCGCGCCACTATATCTACACACTTTAGTTAATTAAACTTTAAATTAACTACTAAAGAGAAGAAAGATCTGTGTTTTCCGTTAAACACAGATCTCGTGAAACAAAGTTTAATTTAAAATTTTAATTAAAAAATTTCAGCTATAATGTGCAATCCTGGGTAATATTATAAATTCGAATATAACTTTGTTTGTTTATTTGTTACGCTTTTACGTCTATACTATTAAACCCATTTTTAAAATACCAATGGAAAGTTGCGTTATCAACGAGTAACATAGGCTACTTTTTACCGCGATAACCAACATACACGCTGGCGGAGAAATAAACAATAAATACCATAATTGAAAGACGAAATAGAAAGCGGTAACCTAACTCACTCACTTAAAAGCAACGAAAGAATTGCTTAACCCTGGTTTTCTGTGAGACCACTTCACTCCTCTGTCGGAACCATACGAGCATGTGCCAAAACCTAAAGCACGACTGTCCCATGGCCATCATAATACATGTCTTTAAACCTTCAACAAATTTGCATACACTTGTATAAATAATAAATGTTCTAAGAACCCCTTTTACGAGCTATAGTTCACTATTACATTAGTAGGTATTATTTGAAAAATATTTGTGTTCAACGATGTCCTTGGTCTAGTGATTGAAATATGAAAAACATTATTTTTAAATATAAATGAGGTTTTTAATTAATAAACATTTTTTTTTATTTATACACACACAACGGTACATGAGAGCATTGTTAGACCTCTCATCTGCAGCAAATATATTTAAGTGACTATTAAAAGGAAATGATACAAAAAGTAATTAAACACACGTTGAGTTTAAATTCATAAGCACTTATTTTGTACTTAAATTTTTATTTTAAACAGCATAGTCTGATTCTATCTCAATAATATAGAAAGACCGTTGCGTATCGAACTTTGATTTTGGTTTCCAATAGGAAATTATGTTATCGAAGAAATGTAAGATTGGCGAAAATATGGATAGAATAGAAGGTTTCTTATTTTCCTCGGGTGGAATAACCTCAGGTTCGAATGGTTCTTTGTCTTCACTGTCTTGGGTCTCGGTAAAATTTTCTCCACTTTCTTTCTCCCCGATGTCTAGCTTCTTGGTGGTAGTTTCCTTTTTATCTGTTAGTGAATCTTCAATTTCTTTGGAATGTTTTTCTTCTTCCTTTTCACCTGAAGGTGAGGCATCCGTTGTTTTTTCTGGATCTCCAATTTCTTTGGAATTTTTTTCTTCTTCCTTTTCACCTGAAGGTGAAGAATCCGTTATTTTTTCTGGATCTTCAATTTCTTTGGAATTTTTTTCTTCTTCCTTTTCACCGGAAGGAGAAGAATCCGTTGTTTTTTCTGGATCTTCAACTTCTTCAGCCTTAAACTCTTCTAAGTCCTTCTTAAACTCTTTAAGCTTTTCTTCATCAATTTTTTTTATGACATTCGAATCTTCAAAATCATTTCGAAGCAGGTCGGAGCATATCTCAGGTAGAGATCTACCAAGTTCATTCTTTGAACATTTTATTTTAATATTGTGTGTCTCTAAATATGGCTGCTTTCGCAAAAAATAAACTGCAAGTGGAGGAAGATCTTCAGGAGGAAAAAGAGGTTCTTGTAAATTTGTATGTAATTTGTCCGGGGTTGGAAGTGCAGATACTGTTGATAACACACAAAGTGCCACTTCGAAATATGAGTTCATCTATAAGTAAGAAAAAAAACAGAATCAGAAAAATTAGAACCCAGCATTTATATTAATCAATGGGTTGTTATAAGTTTTATTTATACCACAGAGTAAATATTAGTACCAGCCTATACACCACTAAAATTCCTTTAGATTAGAGTATTTGAACAAAACTCTTTACCGTTATATAATAGTATTATTATGGACAAAATGCAATAAAAATGGTTGTTGACTTACCTTTAACGTTGTTATATCTCTTAAGTTGTTTTCTGGTAACTATACACAGCTTATATATTCGTACATCTTCGTATTAATTACTCAAACCATTAAATGAAAATTAACAAAACCTTCCAGAGATTAAAGTGATGATGTGGTTTTTTTAGATTAAAATATTGACCATCTCGCAACGTTCAATTATTATTAAATAATTAATTATTTACTAATAATTGAACGTTCGGCTATCGTCCGTCTATAGTTTAATGAAAAAAAATTACATAAAGACATCACTTTTAAAAAGAACCCGATTTTATGCTACAACAAAGGAATAAACCAGCAAGTTATTCCTGTTATCATTATACTATTTATTGAACTGGTCATTAGATTGTCGACAACAATAATATAATAAAACAGGACACACTATTACGTTGCTTACCTAACAAATGTAACTACACATTATTACGTGAATCATATGTGTTAAAGGGTGAAAATAAATACAAGCAGATATTAGGGCCCTCTTTATTTACTTATCATATTTAAACCCATTTCTATGGTAACACTTAAATTATATCAGTTACTCACTTCTTGGGACAAATGACAAAGATATTGGGCTGTCTGGTTTGTTTATGAGAAAGGTTCGTATGCCAAGTTCTCCACCCATCCACTTAATTTCATAGTTGCGAATTAACTGTAAATGAACACATTATAAATAGTGCACGTTTAAATAGCTGCTTAAATTAAATCTAAAAAGAGACAAACTTACCCGCATCAAAATAACGCACATATTTTGTTCAGCTAATCTCCGAGCTATACACGACCGGGTACCAAAACCAAAAGGCAAGCTCAAGAAGGGATGAATATTTTCGTGCATTTCCGAACCTCTTAACCACCTTTCTGGTTTAAAGTGAAGAGGATCGCGCACATACTGTGGCAAACGAGATGCTATCATGTTCTGCGTTACGATCACTGTCTGAAACAACAATATAGGGTACATAAACACGGGCACGCCGTCATCGCGGCGGTAAGACCCGTTATGGAGGATTGGCTCGAGAGGCGTCACGGGACCCTCTCATACCGATTGACGCAGGTGATCACTGGGAAGGGATGTTTCGGGGATCACCTGTGTCTGATCCGCAACTAGCCAACGCCTGAGTGCCACCACTGCGATGGCCAGACCGTGGACACGGCTCTCCACACGCTGGCAGAGTGCCCGGCGTGGGTTGAGCAGAGGCGAGACCTTGTGGCGGCCATCGGAGTGGGAGTTCTCTCGCTCGATAGCCTGATTGCGGCTATCGTGCGGAGCGAGAGTGAGTGGAACTCTGCCGTCTCCTTCTGCGAGCAAGTTATGCTCGCGAAGGAGACGGCGGAGTGGGACCGGGAGAGGTTTAGGACTCTCCCGGCCCGCCAGGCCCGGGAACGGGCCAGGTACCGCAGGCGACTCAGGCGCCGGAGGTCGCAGAACGACCTCCGTCCTCCACAAGCGCAGGCCTGGGGGTGACAGGTGAGGCCATCTGTCACCCTAGCAGAAGCAGGCCGGGGTGGCGGCGAGCGCGTTGCGAAGCGCGCTCGCCTCTAGGGAGCACAGGGAACATGGGGTTCCCACACGGGGGGGGTCGTCTACTCGTCTGTAGATGACCCGAGGTATGTCGGGGCACCAGGGACATCCTTTCTAGGGTATACCTGGTTCCCCGGCTATTAGTACCCGAGACGGCGTGCGGTTTTAGTCGGTTCGAGTCCGCCATGCCACTGACAGGTGGTATCCGAGGGGATTTCCGCACGGAAAAAAAAAAAAAAAAAGGGTATATAAACAAATGGTACATGAATTTTGGACTACAAGAGTTTACTTACTCCTTTTGGAATCAGGTATCCTCTCAAAACGAAATCTTTTTGCGCCTGTCGGCCTACTCCAATCGACACAGGATTCAATCTTAAAGTCTCTTTAAGACAACTTTTTAGATAAACAGCTTTCGATAGTATTTCAGAAGTTATTCGACAATCTTTTGTAGGGAGAAGAGCAGCAACTTCAGAATATAATATTTCTTGAATCTGTTGGTTACGACTAATGTGGTATAACGCAAAACTAGTCGAATACGCAGTCTGAAACAAATAAATGTTAATGTTTTTATGACATAGACGTAAGGAGCACATTTTACTAAAGTTTAACTTAAAAAATCTAATACAAACTTAAAATATCTAATATCAACGTACACTCCGGCCTGTATTTATAATGAGTAGGCAGGGGCACCCTTATTGTAATTTATTCTCACTTATGGAATAAGAGGGCACGCCTATTACTGCCAACCTGGCAGTATAGGAATTAAAGATGGAAAAATCGGGAGCACATTAAAATGGAAAAGTATGTACATATAGAGGGAAAACGATCCCAGGAACGTTATAAATTATGGGTTGTAAGGCATAGCTCGCGGAGGTCAATTGCACATCTATAACTTTAACTAGCTGTTGCCACATATATATATATAAAGTATAAGATGTAATAATTGATTCTATTGTGATATAAATCTAACGAAAAGGTCATTAGTAGATGTTTATAAACAAGAAATCGAAGGAATATCATCATCAACAATCTTTAATAGTCCACTACTGGCCAGACGGGTTGTTAGGTATAAGGTTAGTGTCAAGTTTTTCTTCTCTTTGCAGTGCTGTTGTCCTGCATAGTCTGATCCCTTAGTCGACTCTTACGACACCCACGAGATGAACAGGGGGGTGACACGCCATATTCTTAATCCGTTACCACACGGACTTAGGACAAAGAGTATGGTGTGCTTCATCAGTCTGGTATGGCGCTTGCATGTTGACTCAAGTAGAGAAGGGAAGTAACAACTACTTGTCAAGCAGTTACTCTTCTAATGACGTTAATCAAGATTACTGATACTTACTGTATCTATAGCAGCCATAAGTATATCGACCATCATACCCACAATGTCTTTCATATCCAAATCGGGTTGTTGTAGGAATGATGTCAACAATGAATTTTCACTGCAGCTTTCTTTCTCAAAAAAATTTGCCTTGTTTAGGAAAATTTTTGATGATTCTCTAAAATTAACATGTTGCATTTAAATAAAATTTAACAGTTTATAATTAAGCAAAATTAGTACCGAACATACTTTTCCAAGTACTCCTGCGAATCATACAATTTTTTGTAGAGAGGAGTCTTAACATATTTCCACAGAAAACCTTGGTCTAATTTCATGATTCCTGCATTCGATCCAAATGCAGCTTCAATGAGTTTATTGCTTCGAGACCCACTCTCTTGTTCCTCGGGAGAGAAACTTCTGAATCGCTCATTGAAAGCCACCATTCCAATTACTGTAACATGTAAACAATAGCTTCAACCGTATAAATAAGAGAGCTTCACCGATATATTCGTTATGGATTTTACAAGCTAAGTAAGTTCAAATCTCAAACCAGACATATCTCTAATCATAATAATAATTACTTTACACATTCTTTCACACTCAGCCGGCAGTCTGATCCTAAACTGGACAATGCCTGTGCTATGGTAACCACACTGCTGATATATATTCTTAAATATTTCTAAATACATACATATTGTAGATAAATTACACCCAGACACAGAACTAATGTTCGTGCTCATCACGCGATTGGGTGGAAATCAAGCCCACGACCTCCGGCTGCGGACCACGCCTGGCCCGTAATCCACAATTAACAATCACTGGTAGGTCTCTCTTAAAAGTCGGAAACAAATCCTGAATCTACCTACTTAATTGGCATCCCCTAGTCTTGGCCCTACCACTTCCCACAAGTTGTATTCATTTTAATCAAATTATTTTTTTTTATTTATAAATTGTAAACTCGGATAATGTTTAAAAATACGTAGCATAAATATATATTTAAGAATGCATACGATATACCATATCAGGGGTGTTAGAATGAATAGTTATCATATATAAGCATGTTATAAGTGACGACACGACGACGACACACGACGATATAGTGACGACCGAATGTCGTAGTGGTTTGTGTAACGGACTGCTATTCCCGCTCAAGTCAAACATTTGTGTGCATGAACATTTAATGTTTGATTTGGTCTGGGTGTTTCTATGTATAATAAGTTTGTATTTACAAAAAAAAAGTATATATGTATTTATATCAGTTGTGTAGTACCCATAGTAGAAGCTCTGCTTAGTTTGGGACTAGATGGCGTTGTGTGAATGAGGTACAATATTATTATTATTATAATATTTTTAATGACAGCAAAAACGAGTGGCATTAATTACCTTCTAAGTTCAATTTGTTCAAATAGGGTAAAAAGTCTTCACTGTGCGAAACTTTCTTAGCCTCTATCCATTTTATGAATTCAGTAACAATACCATCAGTACTGGTTACAAAACTTTTAACACTTTGAGGACTTGTAAATTTTTTTTGGAACTTGCTCCTAAGCCTCCACCACTCTGGGCCGTTGCTGAAATATTTATAAACATATGTTAATAGAAAATTAATAGCTTCGATTAGTTTTTGATTATATAAAAATCTGCATCTTGTTTGAGACGCAAAATCACGAGAGCTATATATATATTATGGTTAAGTTGGCAAATAAACCGACATCCTCTGCAACTTTACCTATAAACACTAACACCTACGTAAAATGTAATTGGATTACCTTCTTGATTTTTTAAACTCAACCATACATTTAACTAATTTATAAATGTTTGTTGTTTCAATATTATGTAACACGGAACGAAAACTATAGTAACATTTGAATTATTTTTCTTTTTGAATTGCAGAACCACAAAATATCACCAATTTTTGTAGTGACATTAATCAAATTTGAAATATCTTGTGCAACGTAGTTACAGTTCACATAATATTATTGTGAACACATAATATTATTATTAAAACTAATTAGAAAAAAATAAGTAAAGTTAGATTAGGTGATTATAAAATATACTTTACGTGCACAACAGCCCCCCTGTATTATATACATTAGGTTTTCTCGTGCGATAATGCAGAACAGCCAAGTGACTTCTTCGGGCTGGATACTGGTACTCTTGTCTGAACACAACTTCTATGTCCTCGGGATCGAAAACGTGGAGCATTCTCACTCCTGGCGCCTCGCGGACCAGGGTTCCGTAGCGTTTATAGTTCAGCCATGAGTTCTTGTCTAAAGCCTCTACATTGTATTCACCTTAAAATGAATAAATAACGGTAGCTAGCTTATACCACTATAATATACGATAACTTACTGAATCCCCGGAAGAATTAAGCCTTTCTAAGTTCACATAAAAATTTCAAACTTCTTTATTTAAATAATTAATAAGTTATGACACTTAAAATGAAAGGTTAAAATTATTAGATTTGCCAAATAACTTCACCTGAGTACCTTCCGACTATTGAAACTACCTGCATCTGTGCCTGTATTTATAACTCAGGGTATTTTGTAAGTACTTTTATTTTTTTTAAGAGCATAACCCTTTTCTTGATGAACATCTATTTGATTGTATTAAATATTTACTAGGAATTTTCTCTTGGTTTGAACACTTGGTCCCTTTAAGCGTGCTACCGAAATTACAGACCTGGATAATTCTTAATACCGATAATAAGTGTCCGAGGTAAAAAATGATGTTGCACATAAATATTATAAAAATATATTGAATATGTATGAAATTGCTTGTTTAAATACAAGACTTCTTACTCATTTCGGTTTGTCTAAGATAAGAAGGTATGCTTTATTGGGTTGAAGCCTGGACTTTAAGTAAATTAATTCTAAAGATTAATCTGGACGTATTGCACGTTGATTCATAAAACTTGAAGTCTCTTATCATCTTATTAACGTGGTGACGGATGCTGTTTGTCTATGTTATTGTAACTTTAAACTACTGGATGTTTATAGCTAAAATTGCAACAAATAATTTTGCAAAAAGTAAGATGTCGAAAAATTTAATAGTAAACAATTATTTTCTAAATAAGTACATGCGGAAAATAAGACTAGGGTTCAAAGTTGAAATTGATTTATTTTATTTTTTTAATTAATTGAAATCGTCTCATATCTATACAATAGCGATAGTAAATCTGTGTGCTGTACCAGTGCTCTTATGGTCATAGTTGGTACGATTCCATCAACCCCATTTGCAAAATATAGAGTTGTGAGGTTTTCGATACAATAAAGAAGAAAAAGAAATACAGTAGGCGATAGCTTCCCTTGCTACAAATACTTTGTTGAATATGAAAAAGATGAATAAGTAAACAAGTTTCAATATCTTTTATTCATAATGCATTATTACGAATTTAAAGCAGCAAAAAACAATTCTGATAAAACGTACCCAATGAACGAAAGATTGAATCACTACGATCCATGTGATATATTATTGTTTTCTAAATACAATGGGATCAAAAGCTAATTACGATTTAAGGGATCCACATGAAAAGTTATTTATACTAGAAATCGCCTGGCAGTCGACATTCGATCGTTTTAAATGTCTTAAAAACGTAAAGAACCAGTATAACTTGTACTCCCATTGTATAGACTTTAGTACCATGACAAAATAATATTGTGAGCTACTATAGTTCGAGGTAAGTACATAAATTTACACGTCATGTTTTGTTAAAAAAAGCAATAATTGCAGATCGCCCTTTGCTGGTAGGTAAAAGCTTCATTAGGTTACGCACAGAACCAATACTGATATTATAAATGCGAGTGTCTGTCTGGTACCTCTTGACGTTTAAAACGCTGAACCGTTTAGATTAAATTTGATATAGAGATAGTTTAAGTCCCGGGAAAGGACATAGGATAGTTTTTATCCCAAAAATCATCCTTCAATGGGGTGAAAAGAGGGGTGCAAGATTCTATGGGGAATCAATAACCACTGAACCGATTTAGATAAAATTTGGTATGGAGATAGTTTGATTTTTCTTGCGGAAGGACTTAACACATTTTTACCGACATACACGCGGGCGGAGCCGTGGGCAAAATCTAGTTAACAATAATAAAAAAGTGGCATGTGTTATAGAACACGAAGTTATAGAACAAATGCTCACAACTCATAGAAATACGTGTAAATATTTTCGTAATCACGAAATCACAAAATTGTTTATACTTATTGTTTTTGACTTTCTCCGAGAAGCAATGGGTGAAAAAATAATTATTATACAGCTCTGCGCTATTATTACCTGTCGAAAAAATTTAACGATAAAAACGAAACATGTCAATATTTTCTTTTCTTTTTGCTGCCTATTTTATTACTAATCTATGTATATTAGGGATGTCAAAATGAAAAAAAAGAGTAAAATACTGCTGCAGGTTCTTTATTGGCGGTATTGGGTAAGTTATTTTAGTGACAAATCTTATGGTACGAATGGAACGACTTACCAATATAAGGTAGATATTTATAAAGTGTCCCGATGATTGGATAAGTCTTGGGGCCTGGGATTTCATCAAAATTCATAACACTATCTTGCATAACATGCTTATTTTCTTCTCTAATATTTTCATTACAGGAAGTTGCTAACTTGGACACTAAACTAATACTTTTTAAGGGCTGAGTAACTTTTTTACTTAAATAACACTGTAACATCTTTATGCGGTATGTAGTTATAAAGATAATGACCGACACAACTCAAACGTGAGACGTCACTGAACGAAATCATCGAATTACAAAAAGATCCTGTGGCGACTATCGTTGACGCGAAATTATGCGCATAATATAAATACGTAGTCGTTTGTCGAATGTCGGAGAGATGAAAGAAAAAAATTGTCTCAGGTACTACGTATCTAAAACATCGAGGCTGCGAATCTTTAACAACTAGGTAAACTCATAAGTGTCTTAATTTATTTATTTAACACTTAAACGATGTAGGTACAACATAACTGAGTGAAAATATGCAACACAATGTTGTCATTATGTTATGCATATGTGGTGAGGGTTATAATGTATTTGTGTACTCTCGTAGAGTACACAAATACATTTACCTGTGGTTGTGTGGGTCATTTAAAAAATAAGGCCCTGAGTGTTTTTTTTAATATTATTCGGGTTGAGGTTAGCATGTAAGTCAGTAGGTAGTTTGTTAATCAAACGAGGAAGGAGGCAGGATGCCGTTCTTTAGCCATACATATTGTGTGCTTGTGCATACCTAACTGGTTTCGGTCGGGATATAGGCTTTCCGTGAGTGTATAATAAAAGTATTGTGTTAAACTCTCACATTCCATGCCAATTACAATAATAAGTAGGTATATTATAAACTTTCGTAAACATAGACTCTCGTACACGTTCATGAACGTAGGTACACACTTGCACAATCACGCAAACTGCGCATGCGGCTACGCATAGGTACAGTTTTTTTTTTATGGTATAAGGGGGCAAACGAGCAGACTGGTCACCTGATGGTAAGTAACTACCGCCGCCCATGGACACCTACAACTCAAAAGTCACAAGTGCGTTACTACCCTAGGAGTCCCTCCCGCTCGAATCAGCGGGAGGGGGGATTAGGGCTTCGGTAACCTCACTCACTCAGTGAAAGGCAATGAAAGAATTGCTTAACACCGGTTTTCTGTGAGGCTGTGGTATAACTCCGGTCGAGCCAGCCAATTCATGCCGAAGCATGGCTCTCCGACGGTAAGTTCATACTCATCGTATCAATCTGTAAATAATGTTAGTGCAACTAATTAATGATATGTATAAGTAAAGAAAATCAAGTCGTATTCTTCATTTATCAAGTAGTATGTGTAAGAAAAATATGTGAAACAGCGGATATTATAGCACTTCAGGAAACGTGGCTGCTGCCACACGACATACCATTCTTGGGCAGCATCAGCGACCAATTCGCTTTCACTGGCAAGTCTGCGGTGGACACTACGGCCGGCGTGCTCCGAGGCCGCCCGTACGGAGGGGTGGCGGTGCTGTGGAGGAAGTCTGTGTTTACCTCAGTGTCAGTGTTACAGTGCAGTAGTGACCGCATAGCAGCAATTAAAGTTGAATTACGTGAGCGTTCTATGGTAATTATATCTCTGTACATGCCAACGGACTCAATAGATAATTTGATCGAGTTTACGGAGTGTCTAAGTGAAATAAATTCTATAATTGAAAATAGTGATGAAGAATCAGTGTACGTTTTAGGGGATTTCAATGCGCATCCGGGTGAGTTGTTCGCTAATCAACTCTTAGACTTTTGTGCAGAACAGTCATGGACCTGTGTTGATCTCGATATGTTACCTAACGATTCACACACTTTTGTTAGTGAGGCACACGGATGTCGCCGTTGGCTCGATCACTGCGTGGTTACGAGTGCCGCGCGATCAACTATAGATCACGTGACTATACTATATGATACCTACTGGTCTGATCATTATCCGATGCGGTTAACTTGCAATTTACATTTAATAAGACCCAAAATTTTAATTAATAATGTTCCTAAAAATAAAGTCACGTGGGGGGAAAGGCAGAATAGTCAAATTGAAATGTATCATAATTTTTGTAATACCAAGTTGAGAGATATTTACTTGCCAGCGGAACTTTCTGCTTGTACTGATAAAATGTGTAACTGCAAAATTCATAAAACATTAATTAATGATATGTATAAAATAATAGTGCGTATACTGACTGAGGGCGCGGAGTACTCCTACAGTGCGACCCCAAATCTTGATAGGGGCAAGCACATAATAGGATGGAACAGATACATTAGGGAGGCTCACGGAAAGGCTCGGCAATGTTATCAAAATTGGTTAGTGTATGGTAAACCTAGCTCTGGCCGGATATACAACGAAATGACTGAGTCTAGGCGATCATTTAAGGGGAAATTGAAATGGTGTCAAAATAACCAACAACAAATTAAGATGGATATAATAGCTCAGCACCATTGCAATAATAACTTTTCTAAGTTCTGGAAATCAACGAACAAGTTGAATCTGAAGCCGAGTCGTCCCGTGAGCGTAGGGGGTGTACAAGAGCCGAATGATATCGCGAGATTATTTCAGCAGCATTTCAGAATTGAACCGCTTATGGGATCTGCACAGTCGGAACCATTGTCGGTGGCCAATGGAGATATTAATGTAAGATTCTGTGAAAAGGATATTTCTTTAGCTATCCATTCTATGAAACGAGGAAGGTCTCCAGGTCATGATAACCTCAGTATCGAACACCTACGGTATGCTGGGGTACACTTACCTGGAGTCCTTGCTTTGCTGTTTAATCTGTGTGTTAGCCACTCCTACCTGCCTGACGATTTCATGCATACTATTGTTGTCCCCATTGTAAAAAACAAGACCGGCGATGGCTCGGACAGGTCAAACTATAGGCATATATCCTTGGCTACAATTATAGCGAAAGTGATGGACAGTCTGCTTGACGGTCACTTATCTAAACACATCAAACTGCATGACGGTCAGTTCGGCTTTCGGCCTGGTCTATCGACGGATAGTGCAATCATGTGCCTCAAGCAGACTGTGCAGTACTATACCGCGCGTAAAACGCCAGTATACGCGTGTTTTCTGGACCTGTCCAGGGCATTCGATATGGTTTCATACGAGCTACTGTGGACAAAAATGCATAAAGACACTAGTCTCCCTCCTGAGATTGTATCCATATTTATGTACTGGTACAATAATCAGAAAAATACTGTGAGGTGGGCGGATGGTGCATCGGATGAGTACGGGCTGGAGTGCGGGGTGCGTCAGGGGGGACTGACATCACCGAAACTGTTCAATTTGTATATGAACGGCCTGATTGGAGAGCTAAGCAGCACCGGAATTGGTTGTCATATAGAAGGAATTTGCGTTAATAATATTAGTTACGCGGATGATATGGTACTGCTCAGTCCTTCAATCGGGGCGTTGCGCAGGCTGATACGTATTTGTGAAAGATACGCTGAGGCTCATAGGCTCAGATATAACGTGAAGAAAAGTGAGATTATAGTGTTTAGAGCACCCAAAAAGGTTTATTTAGAGATACCATCCGTATCACTCTATGGGACACCTTTAAACAGAGTCACTCACTTCAAGTATCTGGGCCACTGGGTCACCGAGGATCTTAAAGATAATATGGATATGGAAAGGGAACGTAGGGCGTTGTCTGTTCGCTGTAATATGTTGGCTCGCAGATTTGCACGCTGCACTGAAAAAGTGAAGGTTACACTATTTAGGGCATTCTGCCAGACTTTCTACACGTGCAGCTTGTGGGTCAATTACACGCAGAGGACCTACGACGCCTTGCGGGTGCAGTACAATAATGCATTCAGGGTGTTGATGGGGCTGCCGCGGTTCTGTAGCGCGAGTAGCATGTTTGCAGAGGCGCACGTGGACGGCTTTCACGCGATAATGCGAAAGCGCTGTGCATCAATGATGGCACGGGCGCGCGGCAGCCCCAGCGCCATCCTGACCGCGAGCGCCGGTCGAATGGACTCGGCACTGATGGCACACTGGATAGGCCTACACGTGAGACCAAGCGCCTGACTGATGTTACTAACACTAGGCTAAGAATATTGTTACTAACAAATTATATGGACTTAGTCTGAAAATAAATTATTATTATTATTATTAGACTACTGATCCCTTTTTACACAACTAATGGCGTAGCACGCTTTATTTAAACCCTGTATAGCCACATTGTTATGATTATATACGGACAATATGTTTCTTTATAATTACAGCACCTGTCATTGTTCCGCAAAAATAGTTTCTGCAATAACTGTTTGTCCTTAATTTTGAGGAAGAATTCACCGTAATTTTGACGACTTTTATTTGATAAACATCAACACTGTGTTCTGGCCTTGGAGCAGAGTCCTAATTATATGAAAGAAAGGGATATACATACCTAAGTCACTTCCGTTGATCTACATTACCCTAAGCATCTTACTTACTGAAGATTTTCTTCCTAATTGCCAACAAATGTACTATTTACGGCAATATTACAGTGTAAATTAAGTTACTTTCATTCTAAGGGTGTGAATTGTAATAAATCTATACACCATAATACTTGCTAACCATCCTATTTTTAGATGAGTTTACACAATTATTAGTAACCCGCTTTTATAACTTATCGTTAGTGCTGTTCCTGAATGTAAGAATACTAGTGTAAAAACATCGGATAAGTTAGGGATTCAACTGACACATTTTTGCTTACATAGCCGTATGACGTAATAAAATGACAGCTACTATGTCATGGTACTCATTATCATCATCAACAGCCTTTACTAGTCCACTGCTGGACATAGGCCTAATTAGAAAGGAGGTTTTGGCCTACTATACCACGCTGGCCAGACGGGTTGGTATAGGGTTTGTTTCAAGTTTTCCTTCTCTCTGCAGTGCTGTTGTCCTGCGTAGTTTGCTTAGTTAGTCGCCTCTTACGACACCCACGGGATGAATAGGGGTGGTGACACTCTGTATTCTTAATCCGTTCTTAACCACTCTGTATTCTTAACCACACGGAATCATGGTACTAACAGATCTAAAAAAATGAAAACTTCGAATTTAAGTTTAAAATTATTTTATTATTTTATGATATACATATAACATTTACCAGATTCTTTTGCCAAAGCTATCTCAATAATATCCTAAATATAAAATTTTAAATTGAGCATTTCAATGAGAATGATTTATGTTTAAACTAGCAACATTTTGATATTACCAACAGCCAATTTCGAAAGTTATATTATAGATATAATTAATACCATACCATATATTAATATTATATACTTAAGTTATATGTATAGTAATACATATAACTTAAGTATATAATGTGTGTTGATATTGTAGAAGTTAGAGCTGGCACTAGCAGGTATCCAGGTACTAAAATAGCTAAAAATAACAAAAAAAGAGATGGTCCGACGCTCTGAGTTATTCTCACTGTGGTGACGTTCAGTTATTAATTGTGTAATCTGTGGTGCTGTCAATTTGGTTCAACTCATTTTATGTCTATTGTCTCATGTCTGTCATAATTGTCATACATCTCGAGTTCTACTCATAGACTCACAGAGTTCCTACCTACAGTAATATTATTAAGATCGACTCGAACAGTGAGAGTGAGATAAGCGTTAATGTTTGTTAGAATTAAAATTTAGTTTTTCTATAGTAATTATTTATAATATTAACTGTTTGGTATAGACAAACAAGAAACATAACCTTACCCTCTGGATAACTTAAAAACTTTAACCTTAGTTTTTTAGTTATTTTTAGATTTTTAAAGTTAACTGGATTTCAGTTTTGGATTGAATATTCGTTAAGAATATCTGTTAAAGATACATATAAAGAAAATAGAAAACATGCTTCTCAGACTACCGAAGTATCTACAACTTCTCAATGTGAATAAACAATTATCATTACAACAAATGAGGTGTTTCAATGCTAGCAGCAAGTCGAATATCAATATATTGGGAATCGAAACTTCTTGCGATGATACAGGCTGTGCTATTATTAATGAACAAGGCAAACTGTTGTCAGAAACTTTGTATTCTCAAAATTTAATGCACTTGAGGAATGGAGGCATCATACCAGATATAGCACAAGATCTTCATAGGACTTACATAAAACCAACTGTAGACAAAGCTTTAGAAGAAGCAAAATTATCAATGGATGATATTACAGCTATTGCGGTTACATTAAAACCAGGTCTTCCACTTAGCTTAGCAGTGGGCATGAGGTATGCAAAGCATTTAGCTCGTCGTTTCAAGAAACCAATAATACCTATACATCACATGCAAGCACATGCCTTAGTAGCAAGGATGCATCATAATATAAATTTTCCTTATTTGGTACTATTAATATCAGGAGGTCACTGTTTATTAGCTGTTGTTCAAGATGTTAATAATTTTAAATTGCTAGGTGAAAGCATAGACTGTGCTCCTGGTGAAATTTTTGATAAAGTTGCTAGACGGATGAAATTAAGAAATTTACCAGAGTATTCAAAAATTTGTGGAGGACAAGCTGTGGAAATAGCAGCATCTAAAGCAACAAACCCTCACCAGTTTAAACTACCTCTACCATTGGCAGAATGCAAGGATTGTAATTTCAGCTTTAATGGCTTAAAAACATCAGTTCTTTTTAATTTACACAAAAAAGAACAAGAACACAACACTGTGGCCCACAAACTTATACCTGAAATAAATGATTTGTGTGCAGCTATGTTAATGGCCGCTACAAGACACCTAGTACATAGAACACAAAGAGCTATGATGTTTTGTCAAGAAAGAAATCTGATACCACAAGAAAACCAACTGCTAATAGTGTCGGGTGGGGTGGCATGTAACAATTACATATTTAGTGCTTTACAAATGTTATGCAATGAGAGCTCTTATGAAATTTATAGACCAGCACCCAAGCTATGTACAGATAATGGCGTCATGATAGCATGGAATGGATTGGAAAAATGGAGGAAGGGTTTAGACATCATTACAGATTTTAATTCTTTAGATATAGAAGCCTCTAGTCCAATAGGAGAAAGTCTTATAGAAAAAGTAATTGCAGCTAAGATTTCAACCAAAATGATGAAAGTGAAATTAAAAACGCTAAATGCTTAAAAACATCTTTTATATTTTACGCCCACCTTAGAATCACACTACAATGTTTTAAACTGCATATACATGCTTTTGCCATGTTTTTATAAAAACTTGGTTAAGCCACATTTAAATTACAAATATATCTAAATAACAGAATAATAATTTAAAACTAGCTGGTACCTACCACTTCATTCACATGGAATTTGAATTGAAAACATTTAATTTGCAGAATTCATAAAAAAGTAAATGTAAATGGTATGAAACTGCAGTCCATGAGGCCTCGGGTTCGATCCCTGGATCAGGCAAAGTTAGTCCTTATATAGATAGGTACCTGGTAGTAAAATATTATCAAAATTAGTTTAGCCATTTTGAAGATTACCTGGAACAAACATACAGACAGATAAAAAATATTTAAAATAGTTTTCACAGTGCAAATAACCGTGTGAGGGTGAAAATAATGTAGTATTTTGACGTTAAAAACAGACGCTCCAATTTTATTTATTTGTATAGATAAAGATAGATTATATCACGCCATCGTATCACTTGTGTGGCAGATCTTGACCAGATAAGGCCAGTGGCTGCAGAAAAGCCAACTGTGACCAAAACTCAAGCTGCGAGACCGAAGAGAGCTGCTGTCGGTTCAAAAAAGTAAATGGTTGCTATGTGGTTCTCTCTTAGATACATTGAATGTAATGTTACACTGTCTGGGTGAATTTCACGCGAGAATCAGTCCAAATTCATTTTCCTTATTAACATTTTATGGTTTCGAATATGGTAATCATCAAATAATTCTGTTCAACATCATTAAACCAGCCGAACACATTTATTTTGTTGATCTACCTTTATTTAAAAATCTCAAAACAAAAATAGCTGTCAACTGTCAAGTGTCAAAGAAAGTCAAATTGCGTTCCAGGTCGCATATTTTTCTGCAACACTATTGTTTGTCACTGATTAGTTGTAAGTTTGAAACAAAGTCTTTTGAACGGGAAGTTCGCCCAGAAAATTGTGACACAATTTTGCTTCTTTTTGTTTTTGTTTTCTTTTCTTTTTATGATTACTTTTATTTAGTTAATATCTTCCAGTAATTTCTAAATGTAAAACACACGACTGGCGGGTGGATCATAAAATTAAATTTTTATTTTTTATTACTACTATTCATATATTATTTATTGAACATTATTGCTCTATTAGTTTACTTATATATTCTTGAATCAACTTTATGTCTGACTTGGACAATAATGATGATGACAGTTTTTACTCGATAAACAGTCTTGATTCTAGTTACGTTAGTATACCCTCACTCCATGAGAATCTTCAGTACCAATTTTCTAATGCTCCGCGGAATTTTAATGTAGTCCATATCAATGCCCAGAGTATTCCAGCTCATTTCCCTGATATGCTGGCGACCTTTGATTGCAAAAACATTCACGCCATTTTAGTTTCAGAGACATGGTTAAAACCGTGCCTACCTTCTACACCATATACTCTTCCTGGTTTCAATCTCATAAGGAATGACCGTGCGATCGGTGGTGGGGGTGGTGTTGGCATATACCTGCGACAGCACATTCCCTTTACCATTGTAAACATTTCGTCACAGCCCCCATCACCGGACGCTGGCGAGCACCTCTTTATAGAACTAGTAGTTAATCATGCGAAGATTTTACTTGGTGTTTACTATTCTCCCTCGTTACGTACTAATTACTTTTCCTCTTTTGAAAAATTACTAGAAAACTTATCTCCCTCTTATAGCCACACATTAATAATGGGCGATTTCAATACCTGCTTGTTGAAAAATGACCATCGCTCTTCTTCACAACGCAGAATTGTGGACTGTAATAACTTATCACTCTTAACACTTGATGCTACACATCACTTCCCTAACTGCACTCCCTCTCTTCTTGATCTTATCCTAGTCTCTTCTACTGATCATGTCATCAGCCATGGTCAGTATTCCGCTGATGCTTTTTCCTATCATGACTTGATATTTCTCTCTTATGCTATTCGACCACCCAAGGCAAAGCCGAGAATTCTTGTGCAGCGTAATTTTGGCGCGATGAATCTTGTAAGACTTAAGGAAGATGCGCGAAACATCAACTGGAACAATTTGTTAAATTCGCAGTGTGTTAATGATAAAGTCCAAATATTCACAAATAACTTGATACAGCTCTATAACGTCCACGCGCCCTTGCGATCAATAAAACTTAAACATTTACCGGCTCCATGGCTTACTGAGGAGATACGCAGCATTATGTCCAGGAAATGTATAGCGAAAAGCAAATACAAGCGTCGACCAACCGAAGCGAACCTGGAAAAATATGTGTACCTGAGAAATCTCTGCAATAAGATGTGTAGAAACGCACAACGCCAACACATCCACTCTTCCGTAGAAAACGGAGATCCAGCAAAAGTCTGGAAATTTCTAAGAACATTGGGAGTCGGGAGGTCTCGCCAAGAGCCTATTCCCAAAAATGTCAACATTGACTTACTCAATAAACATTTCTCTGCCTCGTCTGACATTAGTGACAGTACAAAAGCTCTTAGATATATTTCTACTACCCCTACTCCCAACTATCCACCTCTCGTCTTTGATCAGTTGTCCGCTTGTGATGTTAGGAAGACCATTCTGGCGATCTCATCCAGCGCAGTGGGAAGTGACTGCATCAGCCGAAATATGATTATTCCTATCCTTGACGAAATTCTACTTATCCTATGCAATATCCTTAATCACTCCGTCACAAGCGGTGTTTTTCCATCTGCATGGAAAGATGCCCAAGTAGGTAATCCCTCTTCCAAAAAAAGCTAAACCCTCTTCATTTTCTGACTATCGGCCCATATCTATTTTACCTTTCCTATTCAAAGTACTTGAACGCCTCATCCACTCTCAGCTGACTAACTTCCTCTCCAAAAATTCTCTACTGAACCCCTTCCAATCCGGATTTCGCCCTGGCCATAGCACAACTTCTGCGCTGGTACACATTACAGACAGCATCAGACTAGGCATGGATAGTGGAAAGATCACAGTTCTCACCTTACTTGATTTTAGCAATGCCTTCAATACTGTGGATTTTCACATTCTGCTTGGCGTACTACGGTCTCTTAACATATCTCCAAGGACAATTGATTGGTTTCATAGTTACCTGTCTGGTCGCCGGCAACGGATTTGTATTAATGACACCATGTCCTCTTGGTGCAGTACTTCTGCTGGTGTACCGCAGGGTGGCGTTCTATCTCCTTTACTCTTCGCTGTTTTTATAAACTCAATCTCTAATCAACTAAGTTCCTTCTACCACCTTTATGCAGATGATTTACAAATATATACACAAGCTCCGATTAACATGTTATCGGATGCATTCAACATAATTAATGCTGACCTTCAACGCATTGGCGAGTGGAGTTATAACTATGGACTTATGATTAATCCTATGAAGACACAGGTGTGTGTTATTGGCAGCCCCAGGCTGATCTCAAAAGTTAACTGGACTCTACTGCCCCAAATTCAGTTCGGTGGCACAACTCTTGAGATAAGCACTACTGTAAAAAATTTAGGGATCTACATAGACAACACTTTATCATGGGGTTCACAGATGCAAGAGGTCAGTCGTAGGATATTTGCTTCAGCCGGTTCTCTTCGAAGACTACGCAAATTCCTTCCAACTGCAACTAGGGTTGCGCTTGCACAAGCACTTCTCCTCCCAATTCTCGACTATGCCGATGTCAGCTATCTGAATCTCACTGAAGCACAACTCGATAAGCTTGAGCGACTACAAAATATGTGTATACGATTCGTATTTGGTTTACGAAAATACGATCACGTCTCTGAATTCCGTCAAATGCTCAAGTGGCTTCCAATTCGCTCTCGCCGGAATACTCATATCCTTATTTTCCTTTACAACATTTTGTTTAATCCCAAAACCCCTTTCTACCTCAAAGAACGATTCAAGTTCCTTAATGACACACACGAAAAATGTCTGCGGTCATCCGTAAGTTTACAACTGGAGATGCCACTGCATTCCACCAAATTTTATGATCAATCCTTCACTGTTGAAGCTGTGCGCTTGTGGAATGCACTGCCGCTTAACATCAGGCAGGCGCAAACATTAAATAGATTTAAGAAAATGGTACAGGAATTTTATTCACCTTAATTGAGTCCATCACGCTTGAGGGTGTAACGAAACTTTTTCTCTTTTCTATATGTTTATTCATTTAAGAATGCGTATTTATATATGTATGTGTATATGAATATTTGCTGGTATAGTATGTAGGTACGTATATAAATGTAGGTTTATTTATTGTGATATGCATTGTAGATGTAAGTATAAATATTGTAAATGTTTGTAGATAATATAATATGTGTAGTATATGTAATATGTATAGTAGATAATCATAAACTAATAGTAGGTTCACAAATGCAGATATTCAACTACTACTGTCTCTCTGCAACTTTTGATCCATCCTAAGGTTGCCTGGAAGAAATTGCATTTAGCAATAAGGCCGCCCTTTGTACACTCGATATTTGATCGCTGTGTTCTTTTCTTGTAACTCTGTAATTTAGTGTGCAAATAAAGAGTTATCTATCTATCTATCTATCTATATATTATTCAAAGCTTAGAACTTTGAAAAATGTATTTCTTTTATATCAGTGGAGCACCTGGGGGTTTTGACCTTGGACTTTTGTTACTATATATGGATTTATATGGTGGAGAGGGGTTTTGTTTTTTATACTATAGTTGTTTACCGAAAAAAAAATTGTGCTTTTGATTTCTTTTTATTTAAACAAAATCTATAAGAAATTAATATTTGAGCATATAATTTTTTTTTAAATATCTTAATTTGTTGAATAATAAATTATTTGACGTCTTGCGCAAAGACTCGACGAATTCCAACCACAGGAGAATGCTGGGTTTCGGAGCGGATATGGCACCATAGACCACATCCACACAGTCCGGCAGATTATACAGAAGACCGAAGAATATAATCAGCCCCTGTGTCTAGCATTCGTGGACTATGAGAAAGCCTTTGAC